GGTTTTTGTTTTGCAAGTCCACAATTAATTCTGCGTGTCTATATATGCGTATATATATATACTGTGTATAAATATTGGTTGGGACATGATATTGGGTGTCTATGTTGCTGTGTCATGTTGTTGTGTGTTCCTGTCATCACTCACCTTCTCTGAAACTGGAGAAAAAAACCTGTCACAGAAATATTTGTGTGTGCCTTATTTAGATTTCCTGTCAAGTAACCTAAGAAAATGTATAAAATAAAATAAAATAAATTTTTATATTAATAAAATATTATTATTTAATAATAGGAGTCAGCGTTAAGGTCAAGATGAAGGATGGAGATATGGTGTCAGGAATAGCCAATGAGGGCTCTGTTGCTTGAATCTAACAGCCATCAACACAAATGCATCCCCCCGAGCAAATATGTCATTTTCCATTTTAATTCTAAATGTCTTCTGTAAATAAATGTAGGCCAGGTGTATAATTCCAGTTCTTGTTTATTGGAGTTCAAGATAAATGGATGAATTTCACGTTATATATTTTTTAGCACCCTTTAAATACCGGGTGCATTACTGAGCCTAGAAATCAACAAAAACAATGTTTTATGAAGGATGTACGGAGAACAATTTCTCCCCTCTCCATTACACAAAGTGATGGGCTGTACAGATAGTGGTGATGACAGGGTCTCTCTCTCTCTCTCTCTCTCTCTGTCTCGATGCTGCACGCATCTCAAAGAAAGAAGAAAATGATGAATGAAAGTCCTTTTTGTTGTGTGCTGCCCTGTGGATGCCACTAACATTAGAAAGCCTCCCTCCGGGCTCCACTGTGTATTGCACGTATTCCTCCTGCCACGTCTCATATCAGCTAAACAACCACACGGCCATTCATTAAAACATGTCAGCCGGGAGAGACTTCGTTCCGAGGGAACAAATACTTTATCTTTTATTGCCATGTGCACCAGCAAGAGGAGGAAAGTGAGAGATGCGATTAGACCCCATCGTGATGTCATCACCTACTGAAAAACCCCCTCAGCGGTCTAAACTCTGGTGGCGGAGCTTTATGTGTTTGAATGCCCCCTGCTGGTGGTCTGCACACTCTGCCTGTCAAGAACTGTAGCAATCATCTGACCCGAGTGAGCTTGTTTTTTCCCGCTCTGAATCTGATCCGTGTAAACAAACATCCTCTTGGTGATACAGTGAAGGTCTTGTTAGTCTTGTTGGATGAGAAATGAAAGGGCTTAGAGAGGATCCCTGAACATGAATAATTGAACGACCTTGAATATGTTGTCTTCTAGTTTGTGTAGAAAAAATAACTTTCAAAACAATCTGTATCCACGCGCCCGCTCTCGACCTTTCCTCCATTACAAGTGGGCTTTGATGTGAGGTTTATTTTCTTTCGAGCCCTTGTGTTATCTCTCGTCGGCGGCGTCTATGGCCCTCACTCATTTGTGTCTGCCTTCCAAGCGAGTTGTTCCAGCGCCTTTGACAAACAAACAAACAAACAGACAGCTCTGTCCCTCCGTCCCCAAGGCTGAGTGCTCACAATGACTACTCATAAGGACTATATCCTTAACCCACATAACCACCCAACAAACATCACCTGCTCCCAGGGGTTAAACTGGGATTTGTCAGGAGAGACTGGGGAATATTTATATAGAAATGACCAGATACCATAAGTGAGGGGAGAGAACATGTCTAGTTCCCCAAGGCCTCACAGCTCACATAAAATGTAGCTAATTCAGGAATTAGTTTTTGAAAACTTACTCAAATTCAGAGGACACGCTCAACGAAGGCTGAGGTTTTAAAAGGAACTTGGTTGTACCGTTAGCGGTTGAACTGAGCTGAAACCCAATACTTACATTTAAAGGTGTAATCCTCAGGCTCTCTGTTGGTATTGCTTGCTTTCATCACCGGTGCACAATGAATCTTGGGATAGGTTGGGCCATGAAGGATCCACCTGTTGGATCCTTGTCCTGGAAAAGAAAGATGCATTTTAAAGAGCCTTGGAAATGGGACTGCCAAGTTGCGCCATTGTGATGCAATCTGTCTTCAAATGCAGCCTCTGAAGGATGTGGCCTCTAGCTACACCTTCCTATAATAACAAAATATATAAAAGTTGTGATACAAAACAATAAAGTTCATGGTTTACTCTGCACTTCCATAAACCATGAAGTTGGGGTACTTGCCAATAATAGATTAAACAAAAAGAATATTTGAAATTGGAGCAGGGGAAGTCAAGATATCCTTAGTTTTAGTGTCTGGTATTGATCAGGCTCCAAATACACTGGATGCTACACTTCCTTTAATGAAACTTGAGAGAAAAGTCAACTAACACAGCTAAACCTTCTATCAAGTGGTGCCAGTCTGAAGCAGAAACTGCAGCTAAGCTTTCGTGACCACATTGCCCAAGTCACTTTCCCATTAAGCACAAATCAAAAGGGGTTCAGTAATGACAGACATCAGAGTCCCTCTCTGCCAGGCCTCATCAAAGGAGAAACAAGAGAGATTCATGCTTCACCTCATGAAACAGTCCTCCTCCTAACGAGGAAGTGCCAACCTGTCTGCTCTGCTCACTGCAAAATGAAGGAGTCATTTGCCTCTACCTCCCCCCCAGCCGAGGCAGCGACTGTGACATGTGAACAGGTGGAGCCACAGGGCCGGGAAGGAGCCGAGAGAAATGGCATGCCTATCAATTAGCTCCGCCTTGTCAGATGCATGCTGGAAGAAAGGCAGAGACAGAAACAGGAAATGAAAAATAGATTGGAGTGTGTGTGTGAGAGAGAGAGAGAGAGAGAGAGAAAGATGATGCACAGTGAAGCTGATTAGTTGACGAGAACCAAACAAAGTGACAAAAGGTCTTTGAATGAACAGTCTATAACTGGCTGTGTGGAAGACACAGGCAATTTGACTGTCAGATCTGCACATTTCACCGATGGCACTTCTCAGGTGGAGTTCAAGCATCCTTTCTCGATAACTGTCAGTAGCTCTTATCTAATTGCTCTTAAACTAAAGTGACTTCACTTATATCCTCTACATGCTCTTCTAAACATCTGTGATCTGGTACAGGTCTTTCTTGAAGAAATCTCCTGTGTGACAGAACCACAGGATTGGGACTCACTATGCACGACTCAGAGACAGTGATCAGAGGCAGGGTCTGTAATTCAGGCAAGGTCGGTACACAGGTGATCAATCAGAACAGGCAGACAAATCCAATGGGCTAAGGCTAAACTCACCAGGCAGAACACGGAGGGATCGCTGGAACGTTTGATACTAAGAATAAAGACGAACTGGCACAGGACACAGGGAGCACGCAGACTAAATACACTAGGAGGGGAAGACAATGAGACACAGGTGAAACAGATTAGCAGCAGGGTCAACAATCACAGGAGCGAGAGGTTAGACACACCCCAAAATAAACCAGGAAGTGAAAACCAAAAATTACAAAAAGTAATGCATCTTATATTTCCAGTGTGGAAAGTTGGAATAAATCAGTGGAATAACTGGATAAAACAAGACTGCCACACACAGACATCAAAAGGCTGTATCCAAAATGCACTACATTTCCCGTACAGCATTTTATTTGAGTGTCTGCATCCTGAAATGAAGCATTAGACTGACAGGCGGATTGGTGCAGCGTCAGCAGTAATGTGGTGTTGTACCGGACTGTTGTGGTGAAGAGGAAGCTGAGCTAGAAGCCAAAGCTGTTGATTTAACAGTCAATCTACATTCTAGTCCTCACCTGTGGTCACAAGCTTTGGGTAGTGACTGAAAGAATGACACTGAATACAAGAGGCTGAAATCTGTTTTCTCTGTAGGGTGGCAAAGCTCACTCTTATAAATAGGGTAAGGAGCGCAGACATTCAGAGGGAGTTCAGATTAGAGCTGCTGCTCCTTGAGGAACCAGGTGAGGGGGTTTGGGCATTTGATCAGGATCCTCCTGAGCACCTTCCATTGGAGGTTTGTGGGCACATTCAACTGGTAAGAGACCCTGGTGGGGTAGACATCGAACTTGCTGGAGAGATTATATATCTCATCTGGCCTTGCTTAACTTGCTGCCACTATGCAGCAGAAAATGGATGGATGGATGGGTGGCTGGATGGATGGATGGATGGATGGATGGATGGATGGATGGATGGATGGATGGATGGATGGATGGATGGAGAGAAATTCACATTCTGTATAGTGCCTTCAATTTGCTCACTATAGAATATGTTACAGCAACCACCTGTCAGTCAGTGGAATAGCATGAAAAAGGAACATGCTTAACACAAAAATAAGTTTTCCCAGAATACAGTTCTGGTGGCAATATGCTGAAGTTATAGACTGTTTTATGAAAACAGTAGGCCTATTAACTCACAGTTCTGGCTGCTGCTTATCTCTGAACAGCAGAAAAAGTGAATTTCTCCTGCAGGAGAACATTTCAGAGCATAATAAAACAAACAAATAAACAAAAAATAAATTAAAGGCACAATACATATTCAAAAATCAGGTTAAACGTGAAAAAACTGGATTACAACCACTACTCACTTTCAAACTCACTGACAGTGACATAAAGTTGTAAAAAGTAGAACAGTTGTGATAGTTTTAGATACTCAGTAGTAGTTTAGTAATAATGCAATAATAATGTAAATTTAGTAGTCGTATTAGAAGTGTACATTTAAAAATAATATCTTAAGGCAACAGTTTTAATACCCTGTAACAAGGGAATCTAATAGGCTACTACAACAGTATTAAGTTATAACTGTGGCAAGACTTCTTAATAAATAATAATAATAATAATAATAATAATAATAAACAGTCAGCTGAATAATCAAAGGATGAGTAACCTTCTGTTTGATAAGCCTTTTTTCTTTTTAAAAAAAACATTGTCCTTGGTCACATGTGTAGCTTTCACCTTTAACTTCAGCTCAACCAAACTACCACTCGTCAGTAAACTCTTCTCTCAATCTGATTGGTCAGCTGGGAGAGGTGTTGTTCTTCCTGGTTCCTGATTGGTTGAACCCGCACGGTGCTGCCATCACAGTTGTGCGTCCCTTCAGCGTGTGTTCCAAGGAGATTTTACCTGCAGAGTTATTGGGAAAATGGCGAGCCTGTGTGCCAGAGCAGTGAGACAGAGCTACTCACTAGTAGCTTCATCTGCGCTTACACGGTAAATAGTGTTTATTACTAAAATGTGCCTTTCATCGAAACGCTGCGCTTTTAGCGGGGTGGTGCTGAGCTGCTGTTATCATATGGCTGTAGCCGGCTAGCAACGTTAGCTTTCGTAACTGACCATGGTCCTTAACGTTTGCTGTTGGAAAATACAGACTTAAACTGATCACGGAGACGTGTGTATGTGTGTTGGACATGGCCTGGTTCACATTTAAATGTATCCATGTCATGTTTCTCATTGTTAGCATGTCATTTCAAGAACCAGAGGGGAATGATGACATAACGTGACATGTCCTGAATGATGAAGATAGGGATGTAGTTAGCTTAAACTAAGCTAATGTGTTCTGTGGAGTTTAACTCTGAAGTAGTGTGTTTGTGAGTGTTCTCAGATATTTCATATTTACCAGCTGAAATGCTTTTACACATTACACACAAGCACATTAGTGCTTTATGTGTTGTTCTTGAAAGGAGAAACTGCCAAACCAAACTTCATTCCTAAATCGGCTATTTTATAGTTTCCTGTATCGTCGGTGAACTCGTAGGGCCCACTCTTTGTTCAATTATTGTCGTATGAGTTGTCAATCTGTGAATGGAGTTTGGCGACATATTGCAACGCCACTCTTATTACTCGCGATAGATGATGACATAATATCGCACATGGTGAAATAGGTTTCAGCACTACTTACAACGACTATAACAAAATGATACTTGTATTTTGGCTAAATAAGTGAGCATTTATCATTTGGATGACATATACGGTAGTTGCGTAACATTCTCACTAAGTGTTACTGGCAGTTGGACAATTGGCAGTGGTTTTAATTAAGCTGTCTGATACCATCAATTAGCAAGTCTGGACAAACAACCAAAATACCCTGATGCCTGTATAAGTTAAATATATGAACAGTCTGCGAGGAAAAATTACAAGGATGTCAGGTTTTATTTATATTGTTCAACATCACGATAAGTCAGCTGAAATAGTAAGCACACTGCAGAGATTTAAAGCATTATATTGTTGCTTGACTCTAACACATTTCTGCACATGTACGTCCAGACAGTGAGAGCACCTACTTTACAGGTTAAACAGTTGATTCAGGTTTTGAATATTGGTTCAGAAGGTAATTAAAGCAATGAGGTGAGGGAAGTACCCACCTCCAACAGTTGACAAATGACCTATTGTGTGACCTTCCCACCCAGAGCATCTCCACGATTGTTATGTACGGCCACTCAGCAGAAGAATGGCCACAGGTCAGAGGAGGACGCTGAGAAGCCAGAGCAGAGTGCAGCAGAGAAAGTCCTGACGGAGGAGAAGACCCAGCTGGAGGAGCAGCTCAAGGAGATGACGGTAAGCCGGAGTCGGCTGCAGACAGGTTGACCTCCTGTTCAGCATCCAGCTGGAGTGGAGCTGACTGGTGTTTATCTGTTTTACTGAGAAAATCGCTACATCTGCTCTGAATGCAGAGTTACTGATACATATACCAAGATACTAACCTTAGACAACGATACTCTGAATAACATGACATATATTAAAACTATGATACTTCTAACTTCAACAATTCACAAACTTGAATTAACATTTGAGTCATTTTGCATCACAGCCTGGACTCAGACATCTGGCTTCTTGTTGCTGCTTTTCTTCATTCCATTGTAAATTAACATCTGGCTTCTTGTTCGGACCGTTGGTTTAAATAATAGACAGATTAATCAAAAATGAAAACACTTGTCTATTGCAGCCCTTGTTGAAAGATACAATGATTTAATTGGTAAACTATGTGTAATGGTATTTCACTATGATTTATGGTTTGATGCCAGTCTTTACATACAGAGCAATGCTAGGTTTAAGCTGAAGTAAAACTGAATGTACAGTTGCTGTATTTATTTATGAATGGAGTAAACAGTTAAAATTCAGGTTCATTTTTTATCATAACACCTTACAAAACTTACTTAAGTTACTTACAGTGTTTACCCCTGAGTTGCGTTAGGTAACAGCTGATGACACTGTGTTTTCAAACCATGACCTCTGTTTCGCCCATGTTTTCCAGGAAAAGTACAAGCGGGCCTTGGCTGACACAGAGAACCTCAGAACGCGGAGTCAGAAGATGATAGAAGATGCTAAATTATACGGTAAACGCTTCTATCCATTTTAGCTTGCTAACATTTAGCTAACATTTGAACCAGCTAACAAAATCCTGCAGAAATTATCACATTTTCCTACATAAATTACTCTGCAGTTGCATATTCCCACCACTAGATGTCACAAAAGGGGCAACTGTAGCCTCATTGCTAAGTTGTGTCTTTATTACACAGTTATGCTGTTGGTTTTGTTTGAGTTTGTCACATGATTTGAATATGCATACATATTGTTTTTTGTTAGACATGAGCAGGAAGTGTAATGGTGTTTTTCTCTTCCTTACATCACCAGGGATCCAGGGCTTCTGTAAGGACCTGCTGGAAGTGGCCGACATCCTGGAGAAGGCTACAGAGAGCGTGCCCAAGGAGGAGGTGACAACCCAGAACCCTCACCTGAAGAACCTGTACGACGGCCTGGTGATGACCGAGGTCCAGATCCAGAAGGTGTTCACCAAGCACGGCCTGGTCAAGCTGAACCCCGACGGCCAGAAGTTCGACCCCTACGAGCACGAGGCCCTCTTCCACGCCCCTGTGGAAGGCAAGGAGCCCGGCACTGTCGCCGTAGTAACCAAAGTGGGCTACAAGATTCACGGTCGCACCCTCAGGCCAGCGCTGGTGGGTGTGGCCAAAGCCCCCTAGAAATGATGACAACTGTGACAAAATGGGATTTGTTTTGTTGCCTGGGTGACGGGGGACCTCAGTTACAGTAGACTGGCCCCAGCACCCTGCCACCCTTTTCCCATGGGTCACTCCCCCTCCTGCCTCGAAGAGACGTGAACCCAGCTGAAATGAACTTTGTATCTGGACAATATTCATCTGTTCCTAACAGATGCATAACACTCTGTCTGGCACAGGACAGTCTTTGCAGTAAAAATTAATTTAGTCATTACATAAGTCATTTCAGGCAGTTATCGTCAGATGTTTAAAAAAGAAAAAAGCACCAGCTCACAGACAGAGGCTTTCATGTCTCTTCACGCTGCCATAAATTTAAACTGGAAGAGAAGCAGTGGAATATATTTCACTGACTTATAAAAAAAAAAGCATACCATCTGATCATAACCCTCTAATTTCAGTACTTTTTGGATGAGAGCTGGTGTAAAATCCATCCACACGGTGAACAGTGACTCTGAACTGCTGATATCATTCCGGACTTTTGTTGAAAGCTCTAATAATCTTGAAATTGACTCTTCAGTTGTCTTTCTTGTTTGTGAGTTTCATTGTGTGAATAAAGCTCAGAGCAGTACTTGTGGATCTGAAGAAAGGCTTGAGATCTTACTCTGTCCCGAGGTGGGCTTTCTAAAGCCTGCAGAGTACAGACATCTTCCTCTGCTTCATTTGGATATGATCGGTCTCCGGTCAGCCGGCCTCAGTCACAGTAACGTCCCTGTGCCACAGTGTGGCTCAGTAAGGTTGGACAGTGATGTAACAGCTTTATCTGTAAACCATTAGAGTAATTATGTACATGGACCTTTGTCCAAATTGTCACAGCATCAGAATAAACTGATCATCTTTGAAAGACTTGTTGGTTTTAGTGTTTGTCTTTTTACTCACTTTACCCACTTTACCCTGGTTCAGTGGTTTTCAAGCTGTGAGGTGGAGACAGGTGTTTGCAGGAGAATAAATCGGAGGCTCTTGTCAGTCACATAGACCTGATACATATATACAAGCTGTAGCCCACAGCACAACTCACTGACTCTTAATAACTCTAAGCAATGTTATGAAGGATAATCCTATTATCTTTTCTTGGAGGGGCTGCTTGAGAAATAAGCCCTGCCCATGTGATTCTAATTGACAATGAAATCCAAGTTTTTCTTTTAAAGTTCAAAATTACTACAAAGTATAGAAGAGGAAACAGGACTATTTAGAATTATAAAGTATTTGCACTTTTAATACATCTCCATACATACCTTGTCATGTGCAACAACAAAGTAACGGGACAGCAAAACAGCTCAACAGTATCAGACTGGTAACAAGATTAAAGACAGCACAAAAGCATGCCATCACTATACTCAAAGCTCCAGAAAATGATTCTCTGTAATCCAAAATCAGGTTTTTTTTAATAACAAAAACTATAAAAATTTCCATGACACAAAATACTGTACATTTCACAGGTCAGTAATTATACTTTCTTTTTCCAATTTATCTTACAAAATTATTCACATTTGGTGACATGAAGTAAGCAAACCCCACCCTCCTCCCTTACAAAAGATATTTCCCCACTGGGAACAAAATAAAATCTAATTGCCATATTTTCCTTTGAGACATTTACACCGAAACATAATAACACTTTGGAACATTTGGTTGCGCATGCAGAGTGACACCACTGTCAAAATTTGAATAAGAAAATCACAAAGGTATGTCATGGCTGTTTGGTATATCGGCTGGAAATTAGCATCTCCTCTCTAAAACATTCTGACTCAGATGGAGTTTTGGCCCTTTGAGATGACCTCTGACCTGAAAAAAGCTTAACATTTCTTATTTTAACCACAATATAATGCCCATTCTTCCCCCTTCAGCTTCAACATAAAAGGCCTGGCCTGCTGCTCAGTCAGCATTTTCAATAAACCTACTTCACTAATGACTAATGCATCTAACTCCAATTCAAAACATGTTAGCAACGGGTTAATACGCAGCTGCAACAGCCTACAAAACTAATCCATGTTCTGGAGCTGAACCACTATGATTTTCTTTTTGTTACTCAATATATTATTTATTTTTCTACATACTTTAGATCAGCGGTGCTCTAAATCATTTACCCCTAAAGCCCAGAGCAAAGTAACAATAAAACAAGCTGAATATAAGGAAGTATTTTTCTTGGTTTCAACAAACCTCAACTAAACAAAAAGTTAGTTACTTTGACTTCCCTACTCTGTTTGTGGCCCTCAGCCCCAATCCCATCCCAATGCGTCATGAATATATACCTTTTTTTTTTTTTGAAAAGGCTAATTTATTTCCTAAAACAGCTGGGTCATCTAGTTTTCAGCAAATGTTATGTGGCGCAATATTACACATTTGCTCCATGGCACAGAGGAATGAGATATATCAGGCTTCGGATACACACACTATACTTGTTTGTGGGACACATTCATTGTTGGATTAGGTGTTTTCATGGTATTTGTTGACAATAAGTATTTGACTGAAACGGAACATGCTCTGGAGCACCAGACTGATGAAATATTACTGATTTATCACTATCAAAGAATATTAACACCCTCCACAGTTGGTCCACGGTCTCTGAACAGAACCTCAATTTCCTAAGTGCAACTGTGAAGATAATGCCTCACACTACAGAACTAATGCCACTCGTGACCTGCATTTCCTCCACAAAAAAAAAGCCTATTTTCCAACAGACAGCGAAGAAGAAAAGAATATGAATTTCAGGTAACACACATTCACATGCCTTTCTTCTCTTGAATTTTAATGCCACTGCTCGTGCTGGGAAATAAGTTCATTTACATTTAAATAGTGCAGTAAGCAGCACTTAGCTCAGCTTGCAAAAAAATTGCACAAAGGAGGAAAATGAGAATGAGTCACCAGTGCTGCTGTTATGGTCCTGCCATCAAGACAAAGTGAAGTTGCTTCTGAAAAACTAAGGGCAGGCTCCTTAAGAGGAGGGCAGGTAACATCTGTTTGACAAGACCACCTGGGAGGCTGATGTTCAGTTTAGGGTAAAGACTGTGGAAACTCAAACACACAGACTGAGGAGGAACACTGCTATTTAAGCGTACGGGAGGTAATATTAGCCCGCTATGCATACACACTTGGTGAATAACAAACCATAATCTCGGAATTATGCTGACGCATTTGACTATCATTGGTTAATGCCCTTACACATTCAGCGTCTTTACCTGTATCATACCCAGCGGAGAGTTGAACATTTAAAGCTGCGCTATGTTTCTGTTTTTTTGGACCAAATACACAAGATGGAGCACTAAATATTTTAGGTGACAAACTAATAAAACGCAGGATGTGGGAGGCTGATAGTTTAATTTCTCAATCTGCTTCTTACTATGAGTAACAGGATTCTACTTGAACACATTGTTGCCAAATCCTGATTTGGAAACATTATTTCACAGAGGTGATCTCTGCATTTCAAAAAAGGCGGCGCTCCTTTGGAAAAATGTGATGTCATGTACTTCCATGCATCAATCAGGATTTGGCAACAGTTTAATGGAAGACAGTTGATGGATGGTTTTGGTCACTGACTATCAAAGCTGATCAAACCACACCAACACAGTTCTGAAGTCTTAATAAATATGTTTTTGTATTGTTGCTTATTTAGTGCGCCTACTTCACGTTATAGAGAAATCGGCTAATGCTCTTACGTGAATTAATATTTTCAGGATGCTAAAAACTGAATCATCAAAGTATGTACTGAGTGGGAAGTTTTTCATTTGAGAAATGACCTTGTCATTGCTCTCAGGTGGACACACCTGGCAACACTGCTTCTACATTACATCTTTCTTTGGCATTTCTTCTTATTTATTGGCCAATATAAGACCCCATACTAATATATCTTTGATAAGCTAATATTGACAGATTTATCAAATAGGCCAATTTATTGATCAAGCTCCATGTTGATGCATCAGTCAGGCCCTAATAAAAATTGCCTTCAGGCAGCGGCAAGTGCTCAGACAAGAGAAAGCAAGACAATGGTTCAACCTTGCTGCTTTTTCTTTTCCTTCCCTTGTAGCCAGTGAGAAGGGAATAATTGAGTTTAAGTGGAATGACAATTTACAAGAAATTAAAATGTTAGAAATTTCAAATAGCTACTTCCTGCTCGAAAGGTTACCAAAAAAATTTGAGAGATCCTGAAAAACATCTGCAACCACAACAGTGACAATTTCAGAACTGAAACTGTCAAACATTCCATTTCCAGTAAATGTGATGTTGGATTTAAAATATGATTTCTCCATAGACATCTTCAGTGAACCTGTTGCGATAACAATGCAACTACATAATACTCGTTAGGATTGTTGTTATCAGTATGGACACCAAGTTCTGTGAACCCACAGAGCTGTATTTCACCCATCCCTTTCCAAATGCAAAAATATAGGCTTATTTTTGTTCCTAGCCCTGGTATGAAAATATACTTTTTTTCCAGTGGGGCATTCTCTTTCTTTGCAATGTACATATTCACAAGGTCACCTTTGAAAAGATGGTGAAAGCCAGTAGTTTTGTCCTGCCTATAGCAAAATCAGCTGTCAGCAATCATCCACTTATTACTTCCTGATCAAAGAAGGATCGCTAAGAGGTGTCTCGGGATATCCAGCCGCTTTCTGTGAGGAAGGTGAGAATGCGCTTCTTGAGGACTTTGTCCAGGTAGCTGGGCAGTCGGCTCTTGGCCGGGATGCCTTGCCTTTTCTGCAGGTGGTCTTTGATGATGATGGTTTTGACAGTCAGGTAGCGCGCTGGGCTGAGGTTGAGAGAGTTACACAGCACCTTCTCCCTGTCCGACAGCAGTTCAAAGCCTGTCAGATTCTCGATGGCAGCAAACTCACCATCTTTACCCTCTTCTTTGATCCCACCTCCTACCCCTAACCCTCCAGTAATGCCTCCTCCCCCTCCAGCTCCACCCCCGAGTCCCATCCCAGAGCCAAGCCCACCTCCTCCTCCGCTGCCCCGTTTGGAGGTGACCACACTTTTGTTCTCCTTGCGTTTCTCCCGTTTGTGGCGCGCTGCTTCATATTCCGCTGACTCCTCCAGGCGGGTGATGCCATTGCGGCGGTAGCGCTGCAGCTCACGCACCTTGGCCCTCAGCACACGCTCTTTATGTATGTTCTCAAAGAAATCTTCGAACTCGCGATGGGCCATGAACTGGCAGAGCCCCCGCAGCCTGATCCGCTGCTCCTTCTCCTCCTTGGTGATCTTTCTTTTGGGTGTACTTGGAACAGAACCTGATGCTGCTGCTGTCGTGGAACCTGATCCAATTGCACCACCGCCAACTCCCGCCCCGCCCACACCACCAGCAGTGCCTATGACTCCCAGAGCCCCTGGTTTCTCCTTCTCCTTGTCTTTCTTGTCTCGGCCCAGGAACACAGGCACCAGGTTGTAGTCTCTGGCAATGTTCTTACGTCTCTGGCGTTCTCTGAGCTTCCGCACGTACATGTCCACATGGGCACGTTTCATCTCAATTTCCACATCCTCGTCGTCGTAGTTCACAGAGAGCCCGCTGATGAGCTTCTCTGCGTCCTGGTCATATTCAATCTCATAGTCGTCACGTAGCGGCATGTACCCCAGCTGCTGCTGCTCAGCTAGACTGATGTCCAGTGGGGGGAGAGGGGTGGTGAGGCTGGGGGACAAGGGCCCTCCGCTTGGGCAGGTGTGGTCAGTTACCCGGTTGGGAATGTTATCGGGGATGCAGGCCTTACCCAGGTTTCCATGGATGTACATGGTAACATAATGTTCCATGACCTCCTGAGGAGTACGGGATGCTCCAACATGAGCGGCCATGTCCTCCTGAAAGACACAAACAGGAAGTTGGTACTAATGAGGATAGTGGAAGCAACAGAAATG